CCTCCCTTTGCATTCAGGAACATATATTTTGGAACAATGGGCAAGACAAGAAGCAGTCTATTATTTATTTAATTTTAAGCTGTATTAAGAGTTGATCTGAAATCATAAGACAGAACATCTTAAAATTCCACGCCAGTTTTCCAAAGTCAAAGTACTGCCTACAAAATCTTTCTTTAAAGGGCTCTGCTCAATAGTCCTGTCAGAAACAACATTCTAGATCTTGAAACTGTTAGAAATCTCAAGGTTTTCTACACTGTGCTTGTGGTACTGATTTAATCCTTCACATCATCCTGCTACACCAGAAATTTGTACTCTAATCTTTGATGCTCTGGTTCAGGTTCAAAGTAAGTTGCCCATATTTATCTCCATGTGTCACAGAGATGTAACTTCCTTGATCTCCTTTTTCTCCTCAATGTCTTACATATATTTATTCCAGATTTTAAAAATAGCACAAATACACTCCTCATATTAAAAGCTCCACCAAAGATGCAGTGATGGATGGAGAAGAGCTTGACATGGTCAGAGTAACCACCTACAGGATGGCCCTCACACCACTCTGCCCTCGAAAGAGAAGTTTAGGGTTATCTCCAACCCATCAACCCCTCACTACCCCAGTGGGATGCTGAACTGGATTTGGCACTTACAACTAACACCTCAATATATTTGACATGCAATGACACCATCAATGTTGGTTAAGTTTCACTGTTGTTGGGTGGGTTTGTTGTTTTTTTTTTTGGGGGGGGGGGGCGTTGCTGTTATCACTTTGTTTGAGATTGTTTTTGGGTTTTTTTCAAAATACCATATTGCCTCCTAAAAATTCATTTCTTCCAACTGCTTATTCCCCATCTGATTATAAAATTATTATCACTTGTTTACGACAATTTCCACAGCATCCAATGTAATCTCAAAGTGCTGTGACTTCAAGTGGAAAATAAGCACCATAAATCCATGCTAATGTCACCTGTTATAAAATAAAAACAAGAGAAAAGGAAAGCAGAAACTGTCATATGTGGAACAGGAGTGTCAACATAGAAAACATGTCAAAAATTTCAGGAAATATTACTGTATTCTTCTTATAGTAAAGATGTCAGTTCAGCATTGTGAGCTTTCAGCTGAGCACAATACTCTCAACACCCTAAGCCACATTGCATAGCAGATGTTAAAAGTAAAATCCATTAGGACTAATTAGATTCTACGGAAGAAAAAAAACTAGTAATAGCGTGCAGAGGCAATCTTACATTACACAACTGTACTGAGGGATACCATGAACCAAAAAAAAAAAAAAAAAAAAATCCCCCAAGAACATTAGACATATACATTTCACCCTTTTCTCACAAAGATATAAGCTAACAGAAGACATGTTACAGTGCTTGCAGCCACAGGAAGAAGCAAGGTCTTCTGTATCCAGTTAGAAGCCATAACCTATTGTATATCAACAGGTAATTAATTAATCTGTCATCCTCTATGGCAGTGTGAAACTAAGCAGCAGAAGAGTTTGAGCATCCTTCCCAAACTGCATATGCATTTCATGTTACATTAACCTGACCCAAGTAATCCTCAAATGTACTAAGGTGAGACTGTTAATAGCATGGAGCCAAAAAAACCCAGTTTGTGGTACTCTCTGATAGAGCCTTTTCACTACCATGCAGAAGTCTACTCCTTTAACTGGCCACTAAGAGACAGAGACAGGATTTGTAGTGGACATCTGGAACATATCTATGAGCACTTTTCAGAATTGAGCCACCAATGCAATGTACAGGCTAAATTCTGGCCATGTACTAACTGTGGAGACAAATGAATCTGTCACTGCATACATGATAGCTCAAACACCACTAGGGGCAAAGAACTTAATTTTTTTATTAGGATTTATACATACTAAGAAGGAAATCCGGTTTTGTATTTGTCATAACACATTGCCAAAGGCTGAAGCATTATTTCCTGGTAAGCAGTGTCAAATAACCTCTGGTTCCTCAATCACAATTAGTCTGCATGATCCCTAGATATAAAGTAGTTCATCAATTAGTTAAATGTATATGTAATATCACAGGTGAATTTCATCTTCCAGAATGTTTAAAAATATAAAGTAAAGTAAAGTGATAGATGATAATTTCAACTCAGAAAACCTACCAAAGTTTGAAAGATCCTAGAAACAGACCTGAAATATGTTTCACAAACCATAGATTAAACCTTTGTCTTTTTTTTTGTAGCTCTTGGGTAGAAACTCATTATGGCCTCAGAAAACAGACAGAATGAATATATCCTCATATGTATGTTTCCAATCACTTTACTATCTACCATTACTAGGAAACAGAATTGTCCACAGTCCTCAGGAGAAATGGTTTAAAAATAAGTTTACGTGACTGGTATGGACTTACAGACCAAGAAATAATACAGTTGCTGTTGGTTGCAGATGCTCATGCTGTGAATAACAAATGCAAATGCAGGTACAGCTTTCTCCAGTGGGATATAAAACTGGGTTTCTTCTTTGCTAGCACCAAATTACATCTCAGGCACTGTCCAAAACTGGAATAGGCTCCCTAAAGTCTTTTGTATTGATATTTTTTGCCTGTAAAACACAGCCCAGGGTTGGACCCGAGAGCTCTTGAAATCAGCAACTTAAACTTCCCATCTAAAATTGCTTACTCTTTAGGGTTCATGGGGACATTTAGCAAGGAATGAATTGAAAAGCAACTGCTCTTCTTCTTGTGTATTAAGGTCTGCTCATGAGCAAGGAAGGAACGCGGCCCTGGCTAAGGCTGTTGGAGAACTTAGAGCCAGTAGCCCTGACCCCTCTTGTCACTCTTGGTGCAGAGCACAAGGCTTCCAAGGTTCACTCTCCCTTGGACGGATTCTTGTGCAGCTGTCAGGCAAGGCAGCAGCACACACACAATCCATCCAGAGCATATGATAATTATTATTATAATAATGTGTTGTTTCATCAACAGTTGCCATCAATTGGGCATCTAGTCAGACTGAAAAAAAAGACAACAAAAACCCTAAAGCATTTACTTCAGGCACTGTTCCACATGTTTCTCTTCCCATTTTGGTGATTTTTCTTAAGTGTTGTTTCCATCTTGATATATTTCAGAGAAATGTTTCTGATCATAAAACAATGTATAAAGTCGTTATACAAAAAAGATTCTAAATTAACAACAAGCAACCAACATCTTTTCAGCCTATTTTTTATCTCAGGCAATTTTTTTTTGCATTCAGAAGTAAAACAAAACAAAACTCACACCTGAAAAATTAAGCAAACCCATAAATTTTCAGTTAACTGTATCAACTTAAGTAATTAACTATTTTACTCTTCACATCAGAAGCTTGAACTAAAAACCAAAACAGAAATAATGACATACAACATCCAGTTCATCCCTGGCATTATTCCAAATAAATCAGTGGTATTACACTGGGGATTAATTTGGAACACTGATGTGAATTAGAGGACTATTCTATACAGCAACCTCATCATAACATACGTACAAAAAAATAACCAAAACATTATGAGCATCACAAATGTACACAAAAAATTATGCACCTACAAACCTATTTATAAGCAAACAGCACATACTATTTCAAGGAAATTTTATTATTTAGAAAATAACTATGTCAAATTTTCTGAGAAAGAAGGTTTAATAATCATGTAAAATATATCAATTCCACGCAGGAGAATGTGAAGCTCCTCTAGAGCTCAATTTTCACATATTCCATTGAAATATGACCAGTGGTAAGTCATGCAATTAATCTTCGAAAACTGTTTTAATCCAGTTTCAAAGATTGATCTGAGTACTCAAGTCTGCTCAGCAAATGGAAGTTACCACCTATACAATATAGAGCAATATAAACTAATGCATTTCTTCTCCTCCCAATAGAAGACCATTCACATATCCCTCCTCTATGTAATACTGTGCTTAAGTCCAGTTTTGCAGGGCAAACAAGTTGCTTCTGTTCAGCTGCCTAACCAGTGAAGTTAGTCAGAGGCTGCATCACCACACAGGCAGGCAGATGCTCTGCCAATTCATCCCTGCTTGCTCAGGGAGCGTGAGACCACACAGAGGCAGGAGAATAAAGAGTGAATGCAGAACACATCTCTCTTCTGCAGACTCGCTCGACTCTCAAACACATCTGTAATGTTTAAGGCTGCCTCTGCCTTTCGAAGACGTATCTCTGCCAGGGGATGGTGTTCTCGATCCAGCTGCAGTTTCATGACCCGAACCCGCTGCTCAGCCAGTGCCCTACATAGCACTATATACTTTGCCAGATTGAAACTCATTCGTCATCGCTCGGTTTTCCTATTTGCGAGTGACCCGAAACCTCTAAGGCTACCCACAGCCAACCAGAGAAGTTGCTTAGGAGCTGTGTAATGGCTATGGAGTGGTTAATTTCTCTTTTCCAATTTTCGTCCCCCTTGGAGCCAGACTCTTTCTTGCTCCTTGGGAAGTTGGCTGTGCCCTCGATGCCCCTTCCCTCACGGGGACCGTGCCTAAGCGCAGTGCGCTCACTCGAAGGAAACGCAGCGATGAAATATTAAAACCCTTCCTTGCTCGGGGATCTCTGCGTCGCCTCGCTGGCGGGGAGCACCGCAACGCTCCGCGCCGGAGCCGCGCCCGCCCGCACCGCGCAGCGCGCCCGCCCGGATGGGCAGGGACATCCCCCGAGGTCGCAGCCCCCCGACCCGTAACCAGTGGCCCTTCCCCCGGGACACCCAGCACTGAAAGGCGGGATCAGCCCAGGCTGCCCCACGGAGTGTGCGTGGGGAAATGCTCCCACGCCGCGCTCCGGACGGGGCATTTAAGCAGTCCTGTCCCGCCCCCACAGCGCACAAAATGAAATATGAACTACGGCGGTGACAGAGCGGACTGAGGGCAAACGGGGCAGCCCCCATTTCTCCCCAGCTACATGTTGCTTTGGGACAGCAAGGGCTCTGGGGGTGCAGCTGTACTTTAGGTGCACCTGCCGGGGTCGAGGGCAAGGGGGACGACACCGGGGCGCGGGCAGCACTTACTGAAGAAGATGTACTCCGTGTAGCTGCTCCAGATCTTGTCGTCCCTGTACTGGTTGATGAAGGCGGCGGTGCCGGTGGAGTTGCAAGCCACCATGTGGAAGCCCGCCTCGGAGAGCCGGTCGAAGGCTTGTTCCAGGTAGGTGAATTTGAGGTAGAAGCGGGAGGTGTACTTCTCGGGGGGCCGGTCGGGGTCACGGCTCTCGTTGAGGGTCTCTCCGAAGACCTCCTTGGCCAGGGCGATCCTACCGCACACCATGATGCGGGCGACGCGGCGGAACTTGGCGTCCGCCTGGTTGTCCCGCACCGTGGTGTAGGAGCCGCGGTAGCCCACGGTGAGGAAGCCCGAGCGCTTGTCCAGCGCCGCCCGCTGAAGCCGGTCGCTGCTGCCCTGCGAGTTGCTATCCTCCAGGTCGCTCTGGCAGCCCTCGTCGTTGAGCGAGCTCTGCTTGGTGACCTTGGGCGACAGCAGCTTCACCAGGTCGCCCAGCTGGAAGTACTCGGCCTCCCGCAGGAGCCGTTCCTTCTCGGGGAAGTGCTCGGGCAGCGCCAGCTGCTTGTCCCGCAGGTAATCCAGCACGTACCTGAAGAGGAAGCCGTCGCGGTCGATGAAGAAGCGCGCCCGGCTGTCCCTGGGCAGCTGGCGGGCCGCCGCCGGGCCGCCCCGGCACGGGGAGAACATGGTGGCCAGCGTGCTGTCCGGGACGCTGAGCAGCGTGGAGTGCCTCGTCACGTACACCTGGCCCCCCACGTTCAGCTCCACCACCTCGGGGAACGGCGAGCCCGACGGCCCCGATACCATGTCGCTGATGGGCAGGATGCTGCCGCCCGCCTCCTTCAAAGCCATGGCTGCGAGCGGGCGGCCGCGAAGGAGGGTCTCCCTCCTAAAAAAGCCGGCCTCCCTCCACCCCTCCTTCCCTCCCCTCCCCTCCACCCACACCTCCCTTCCTCCTCCTCCTCCTCCTCCTCCTTCTTCTCCTCCTTCCCCCGCCGCCCGGCGCGCCCGGAAGCGCCTGGACGGAGCCGCTGCTCCGGCGCCCTCCGGCGCGGCAGCGGGCGGCAGGACCCCGGCCCGGGCGCTCCCTCTCTGCCCGGCGGTGGGACAGCCCGGGCTGGGCTCTGGGCTGGGCTCTGGGCTGGCCCGGCCCGGCCCGACCCGAGCGCCCCCCGGCCCTGCCCGCTCGGCCCGGCGGGGCGCGGGGCCGCAGCCGCGCTGGCCTCGGGGCCGAGCGGCCGCCGGAGCCGCTGACACTTGGCCAGGCGCTGCCGCGCTGCCAGGCTCGGCCCAGGGAACAGCCAAGCCCATGCCGGGCTCCTCCCCTCGCTTCGGCTGGCTGGCTTCGGTTTGAAATTAATTTTTTTTCCCCCGCTTGAAAATCTCCCAGCCTCCCCCAAATGCCTCTTGTCTCTCTTACACTGTCGCTCCGGTCGACACTTGCAGTGCTAGAATGATGGTCGTCCTTCCAAGAGTAGCATCCAGCAGGATGCATATGACAGCATTTTTGCCCATTTTCCTCTATCAGCATCCCTTTAATATTAGCGAAGAGGGCATTTAAAAGCGGGTACAAAAGAAACCGGCGTTCTGCTGTGCTCGTGGCACAAATCTAATGGGTCCTGATGGGACACGAATGCTGTTTTTGATGTTGTGAGGATTCACTATGGCAAGGCACACTGGGATCTTGATTTTCAGAGACTCTAAGCATGCTCTCTAGATTGACGATGGAATTGGGGTGATTCAGAGCAAAAAAAAAAAAAAAAAAAAATCTTTTGCCTTTAGGATCCAGATGACAGACAGTGATTTGGAACACATTAGATTCTTGGCCACAATTTGTACTAAAGGCAGTATAGAGTTTTTAATTTTTATCTGTTTCTAGTGAGAGCCACAGCTCACCTGCATCCAGATTTCTGATGCATGTATTTCCAGGCTGTGCTGCTGGAATATATTAGAGCCCAGATTTGTGCTCATGCATTGGCTGAGAGATGTACAATTGTGTTTGCCAGTAAAAAACAAGGCCTAAACCTGACTGTGTTTCTCTGAATACCAGTGCCAGGCCTAAGTGTGATTGTTAAGCTGGGTGTTTCATACATGGGAACATTTAAGTTTTTTTTTTGTTTGTTGGTTTGGTTTTTTTTGTAGTCCTTTAAATGGTGAGGGTTCAACTATTAATTGTGCCACATAGGCAGGAACCCAACTTGTTCTTCATTTAAACAAGAGTGACTTCAGGTCTGGGGGTAAAAAATCATCAGCAGGTAGACAGCTGCAGTCCATTATTTCCCCACTAGTGTGCTGTGATCAAGATGACAAGTCATCCAAAACTTGGTCAGGATCTTTAAACCGCTAGTAAAGACTTCTCTGCTTTAAAGCAGTAACATACACATCTACAGCACTTCATCTGACATGTCTTAGATATCTCTTTCAGGGTGGAAAGAATCTGTCCATGGTGATACTTTCCTCACTTCATTTGCTATAGACTAACCCTAAATCTGTGTTTACACAGAACTCCTTTAGCTTTTACATGGCTTAAACTGAGAAAAGACTCCTAGAAAGCTAGATGTGTTGTGTTTCAGACATAAGAATTTTGTGGAAGTTAAGGGGCATGCAAACAAATGTGCAGAAAATATTTCAGGAAAGATTTCTGTAGTGCCCCTTCTTAACCACTTAACCACTTACTGAAACCAAGTAATAGCTTTGAAAAAAGAAATACCTGTAAGAAACAAAGTAAAATTTTGTCCCTTTCCTTGATTATTTTGTTTGAAATGGTCTTAAAGGCCAGAAGAAACATTCAAACTTCTGTGCAAGAAAGAATGGCATCATTGTTTATTGACAATTTTGCTGTATATTTCTGTAGATTTAATTCCTTGGGATATGAGAGGAGTCAATTTTCATTGTCTTGTTCATTTCTGCAGGTGATATTGTTTCTCTTGAGGATTCAGATGAAATGTTTTTGCTGATTTCTAAGAGGACAGATTTCCTGTCCACTGTCTTCTGTGTAATATAGAATAATAGTTTGCCCATGTCTAAGACAACCCATGCCAGAATATTGCATGACTGTGACACTGCAGCACCACACTTATGAGCAGCACTGAACTGTTCCTATGGTCAGAGTGGCGCCATTAGCAAGAGAGTTGCATTTGTTTTTCCCTTCCAGAAGCCTGCAGCCACAGCAGAACTGTATCTTAAACATTCTCTCTGGTGACTTATGTTTGCAAAGATGTGTAATCTAAGAGTACTAAAAAGTACATAGTTCAACAAGGTAGAGTGAGATCACTTGCCATATAGAATTTACCAGTTTGTCAAATTGCATAGAAGTCATGCATAAAGCAAATATTAATATATTACTTATGGAAGTAAGAAGTTTCTTTTTATCACTGCTACATTCTTCCTAGGCTCAACAGCCACTGTGACACTTGAAAAATCCATACACCAATGTTACAGTACTAAGCTTTTGTATGCTGCCTGTTACTTGGTCAGCTCATGGTTCCCTCTGTGAATAAGCATATGCTAGGCCCATCAATGCCTTCGTCTGAGGTAATGAAAATTGCCCATATAAACTCCAAAGGTAATTTGTCATGAGAATGGACAGAGAGAACTTGTTTGTACTCTGTGGAGTAGGAGCCATCTTCTTACAGGTTTACATTATATACTGCAGCAGCATCCTGCAGTGCTATTTGAGTGAAGTCTAAGGGCAGTATAATGGAGAAAAGTACATAAATAAATATCCTTAAGCTTCAGACATGTAGTGGTTTCTGATGCTTAAAGCAACGAAGAAAAATGCAGGTGAAAACCTGTCATGATCTGTTTCTTTCTCTGTCAGGAGTGTTTTGAGATTGGGCTGAAGAACTCATGTTAGTTGGAGATTCCCTTAGGTAGGCACACTGGTGCAAGCAGCAGGCACCAGCAACAACAATCCTTTTGGAAGTAGCCTGGAGGGGCACAGTCAGGATAAATTCCTCAGATAAAAAACTTCTTTTCACTGTAGTTCTTCCTGCCCTGGAGTCAGTTGGTGTGCTGATTTGACCAGTCTACATGATAAATCTCAACTAACCTGAGAGGATCATGCTGAGAGAGGGCAAAAAAAAAAAAAAGGGTCAGGAAGATCATCTGGACCACATCATGTCCAGATGATGACCTGATCAACCAGATCATTCTAATGAAACATTCATGTAGATAAAAGTACACATTTAGTGCTGCTCAGACAGTTCTAAAATGGAAATTAATAGATTTACTTGGTTTACTGCTCAGCCAGGTTTTGAACTGATTTACCTAGGTAGAGGTAACTTTTTTATATATAGAAAATGCTACACTAATCTCTTGTGAAACAGTATTTGATAAAATAGTTAAATGAAACAGTGTTTCTGAGAAGGAGAGAGGTGAAAGTGAGAGTTTTCTTCATGAGAGACTTGTTTTAAAGACACTCTTGAGTATGATTAAAAAAAGGAAAAATTGTTCACTAATACAATGTGATTAGATAACATGAAATAAAGGATACATAACCACTTTTCAAATTAAATTGTAAAAAAAAAAAATCTTTTTTCTCCATGAAAATCAGCAACCAAGTAAAGGATAATGTCTAGTAAAAGAACAAATACTCCATTAGAGAGAGAAATACTAAAAGTTCTTTAGTTCCCGGCAAGGGAATAAATTTAGTGAACTTCTCTAGTAATGAGAAAATTCTTCTGTTGGGCTCCTGGTGAAGTCAAAGGGACTTGATCCTATGTCGTGAGTTGCAGGATCAGGAAGGAAGAGTTCCTGCAAAAGAAGTTCTAGATTATTAATATGAGCAGGTCTGCAGTAATTACAGAAATCACCTAATAAGCATTTAAGGTCATTATGTTGTCTTTCAAACAGTCATCAGTACAAAATTGATATTAAAATTGTAGACAAGAATGTGACAAACTGCCAACAGAATCATATTTCCAACACTGTTGTACTGTTGCCCAGTAAGCCTACGAGTCTTGGGCACTTTCACAATTCCTTCTTTCCTTTTGGTTGCCATTTCTGTCATTTTTACAGATATTAATATTTGCCTGTTAAGGTCTTACTTGTTTTTCTGTTAGCAACAAAACATCATTCCAAAGTACTGATTTTTTTAAAGACTTTGAGCTTGTCTGTTTTCCATCCACCTACCAGTCAACACTTCAATACATATGTTCTCTTTGTTCCTTACTAGCTCATTCAGCACATTTTCCTTCCAGTCATAAGAATTTTAAAACCTTAGATATATTTATATGTAACATTTCATTATTCTGAAATGATTTGAATTCTGTCGTACAAGAATTAAGAAATGTTGTATTTATGTAGTTAATGATCAGAGTTAAAGAGAAGCACTCACACATGTAGATATGCTGTGGGAATTTGTACATTCAGGACCTAAACAGTATTGTATACATTTGGGTTAGGACTATAGATTATTCAGTTTCAGTACTGGGACTTAAATCAGAATAAATTAGCCTGCAGGCCTGATTCTGGGAATCTGGGAACATTCTTTACAGTCCGTAGTTATTCATAGCTCTAATTTAAGTTGCATTTGAAACATAGCAAGAAGTTACTAAGGTTTTAAAAATTATGCATTCTCAGGGGAAAAAAAAAGGCCTGGTGAGAAGTTTTGTAAGCCAGGTTAATCAAGAATTTAGCAACTTTTGCTTCCCAAAGACTGGAAGTTTTACTCACTAATAGTTAATTTATCTGTTTTCTGACAGTATTTACAGAGGTTACCACTGTGAAGTCAGCTCTGTCATACTGTGTCTGAAGTGAGTTGTTTGAATTATTCATGACAACAGCTGTATTAGCTTTACCTGACAAGTTCTGCAGGTCGAGAGTCACTTTTCACTTATGAAAGTTAAAATTATGCCTGCGCTTTCATAATGTACAAGTTTGGAGCATTCCCTACTAGCTAACTAGTATTGCCTGCTAGCAATACCAAAGCAAAACTAAAAGAAAGAACAACTCCAGGAATTATAAACCTTTGTTAGAATATTTCAACTGTATTTATTTACCCAGACATATATGAGAATAATTTGATATTTTATATTATTGGATTTATCCCATGAAAAGTGCACGATTTCTTTTTCATCATTAAGATTAGCATTCAGAATTAGCATTCCAAAAATATTTAGTTCATACTTCCTTTTCAGAGCAGAAATGTGTCTTCTATGTAAATTTACACTAGCCTAAATCTGACTAAATTCTAACTTCAATGTGTCAAACTCTGAATTTAACATATTCTGCCTATAAACACCCCCATAGCAAGAATCTGTTCACTTGCTGTTAATTAGGCCTAATAGCCTGAACAGTTATGCAAGTGTATTCCAAGTATGACAATGACATTTTTCTCACTTTTCTCAGTGTAGGCTGTATTTAGCATTTGAATGTACTATTTTTTTCCTTCTTCATTCATTTATCTTTTTGAAAAAACATCTTTTAAATGTTGATCAGTGTGAAGTCATTTCCACAGAAGTACTGCTTATTGATGTTCTGCTCAGCTGCTCATTTCTTTCTTATTCTCAAGCAGCAATTTACCAGAGGCTGAAGAAATGAACAGCTTGATAGAACATATATATATATATATCAGGGAATATGATACCATATATATATGGTATCATATGGTTTCCTTATAGTGAAGTCAGGCTGTATTTCATTAATACTTCCTCAATATTAAGACATTTAATATGGTCACTTGCTATAGCAACAGTTTTTATGCAGAAAAACTGCTGTCATCAGAACGGGGAATCTCCTATTCTCTCTATTCTGCCACTTCTTTATGAACATAAATTGAATGAAATACAGAAATCTCAGGTAGTGAGGACATAGGTGTAGTGGTACACACTTGTGCTGGAGCAGCTACAGTCTGAGTCTAACTGTTTTGTGAATAAAGATTCTGATTTTCCTGTGTTTTGATAGAGTCTACACAGTCGCAGCTCCTTTTGGTTTCAGCTTGTGTTTGCATTGCTCAGGAGTTCTGACAAGTAGGCACTCAGTGTCTGAGTGGGTATGTATCTACAGTCTAGCATGCAGAAATGAATGCAGAGTGTTTATTTCAGGAACTCCCTACAGTAGTGCAAATTATGGGTTCTCGAAATTCAGTACAAATTTTTCCCGTTTGCTCTAGGTTATCTAATTTTGGAATAGATGATCATAACAATTTTTCCTTCTTCATTAAAGGGGAAAATGTCAAAGAAAATATAATGCATGCTTTTCTAGTTTAATATTTTGCTTGAGTTTCTAAATGCACAAAACCAAGAAAAGTCATTATTCTGGTAATATCCTAATTTGCCATGTTGTACATCACTGTTTCTGTTAGTCAAGTGAAAAAGGAAGAAGACATGTCTGTCAAGGCTCTGATTCTGCAAAACACTTAAGGCCAGATTTATAACAGAATATTCAAAAACCTTTCCCGATTCACAAAATTTAATGTGACTAAGGTGCCTAAACAGGAGCTACTATTTTAGCTCTGGACATATAAACATTTTTGCAGGATCTGAAGAGCCCTATTGCTTATGATGGGAGTACTGATTAATGCAAAAAGTATGCACATGCAATGCAGGATCAGAGATTATAATCCAAGTCTTTGCTTCTGTGTTTGTTACACTGCTGTTTTGTTTGTATAAAATAGTATTTCTATAAAGCTTAAAACAATAATTCATAGTGTTTTAGAGCTTCCTGTCTACTCATGTCATTCACAAGAGACAAAACAGCATAAGGAAATATGATTATTTGTTTGTAATTTCCATGTATTTTTATTCTTTGTGTACTTAGTTCCATTCAGGAACCAAATCAGAATACAAAGATAGAATTTCTTTGTCATGCGGGGGGCTGCATTCAGAAAAGAAAGCTGCTGAAGGTGTTATAATGATAAATTAATGATAGCTTTAAAATAAAAAAGTATGGAAGTGACAAATCTCCAAAGAATAGCACAGTAAATTAGCACATGAGAATGCAAAAGTCAGTAGTACTAATAACAATGTGCATTTGATTTCACAGCCAAATTGTTATCACTATCAAAATAGTGTTCGACCGTAAGGAAAAAATAATAAAGTAAAATTCATAGAGGTGTGTGCCTCCCACACTTTGGAAGACAATAAAAAAAGTCAGGAAAATAGACAAAAAATATAGACACATAACACAGTTAAAGACATTTTGGTTTGAATGTTCTACTACATTATTTTCCCTTACTGTAATGCTGATTGTTTGAAACTGTTCTGTGTTGTAATTTGCAGACTTTTTTAAGGGTATAACTATATCTTAAAAGGAAAGAAGTCAAAACTACAGAAGCTTGTCATACTTGGTTGCACAAAATGAAAGCTGAGAGGAGTACAATTACTGTACATGACTATGGTGTGAGCTCTGAAATCCTGAATGGCCAGGCTGGCCCAAGGCGAAATAAGTTGAAACTGATCCTATATACATTTATGCTGGAGACTGAAGGAAGTCAGTTTCAGAAGAAAGGGCTTCTGACCCTCATATTTTATTGCTGTAATCAAAAGGAAAAACAAAAAAAAAGTTTCTATGAAATAATTAAATAATATATTTTATTTGGTAGCTCAGTCTCATATTCCTGATTTCTCTGTTTGAATTAAAGCACCATATGTGCATACAGAACTACAATGTTCCTGGCACAGCCAAATTTCTGATCACAGGCAGCGGTTCTCCTGGCACCTGCTGCAGAGGAATGGGCACTGGGGAGTTTTCCAAAGGGTGTCAGGGACGAGACAGGTACTGGAAGGACCAGCCTGGGGTGATGCTGTCCTGGATGAACAAAGAGGAACTGTCAGGGCTGGAACAGTGACTGAGACCCCTCATTGTAGTGATGGGTGTCTAGTCTCACTTTTACCACTGATGTAAGTCTAGCCACTTTTCTTGTTGCCGTTGATGCTCTGGTCACATTTACTTCTGTCAGGGCATTACCTTTCCTACCCTCATTGCTGGCTGGTAGGACAGCCTGTCTGTATCCCTCCAAGGCTACCTGTCCTTGCCTGTGCAGCAGCCTTGGCCCAGGTGCCTGTAGCAGACTCCCACTATGAAGTCACCTGTCCCTGCCCTGTATTTCATCCTGGATCCTCATATCCAACCCATAAGCTTTTGCTTGCCTCCTCTTCCACTCCCAGGTGGAGCTCCATGCACTCCAGCTGGTTCTTGATGGTGTGACACCCTCTCTTGCCCTGCAAGACCATGGAGCAAAGCCTCCTGGAAACTGTGCTAAGGCACTTGGAAAATAATGAGGGGATTGGTCACAGCCAACATGGCTTCAGCAAGGGCAAATGGTTCCTGACAAATGTGATGGCCTCCTACAGCAGGGGGACAGTGTTGGTGGCTAAGCAAAGGACAACTGGCAGCATCTTCCTGGACTTGTGCAAAGCATTTGACACTGTCCTGCACAATGTTCCTGTCTTCAAACTGGAGATATGTGGATTTGATGGAGGGACCACTTGACTGATTAGGAATTGGTTGGGTGGTCGTGCTCAGGGAATTGCGGTAAAAGGCTCAAATCCGCATGGAAGCCAGTGATGTGTGCTGTTCCTCAGGAGTCAGTACTGGGACTAGCACAGCTCAACGTCTTTGTTGGTAACACGGACAGTGGGATTGAGTGCACCCTCAGCTGCTGACAGCACCAAGCTGAGCATGCAGTCGACATGCTGGAGGGAAGGGACCTTGAGAGACTTATGAGGAAATAGATGATCTTTAAGGTCTCTTCAAGCCCAAAGCATGCCATGTGATCCAAATTCCCCATCTCTTGTGAGACTCTCTCAATAGCTGCTAACCCCTTCTCATTTAATATATCAAATGGGGAGGAAAGACTTCTAGAAATTATCTGAGTGCATCAGTAACTCAATTTCATAGTTATTGTAATGTTAGAAGAACGCTTTATAGTCAGCTGACCCTATTCAAGCAAACTGTAGTCTTACTTTAATTTGGCCTCTAACAAATACATACATAGAGAGGATGAAAACAAAAAGAGGAAATGTTAGCAAGGGTTTGGGTGGGTTTCTTGGGGTGGAAATGTGCTATATGAGAGATTAATGTGGACTTGATAGACATTAATATACAATAATGTAAGCTCAGTAATAAAAGGATGTTAAAATGAATATATAAAAATGGAAATATGTTTAACCAAGTAGATGGGAGGGTGAAAGAGCTAGTCATATGAGGAGAAGTAGGCTATTAAGGGCACAACTTAAATCTGGCTTGAAGATTACATTATCTGGGCTATTAAAAATAACAGTCACAGATTAGATGAAATCAGCAGAAATGTGAAATGAAAAGTTTGTGAAATAGGAAACCTTTGCCTTCCTTATGAGCATCAGCCATCAGGAATGAGACCACTTAATTCCTTTTCACTTTGGGGTAAAGGAGAAGGTATAAAATGTTGTAATACGAACTTAAATGAGCCACAAAATTCAATGTGAAGAGGAAAAGTTTGGGTTTTCCTTCCAGCTGGTCCAATCCATGCTGTGAGAAAAGGCAGAGAGGAGTCAAAACATTCCCTTATGCATTCTCTCCCATGGCTGCTTTTCACATGGTCATTGACTTGCTTGTTACTTGAGTGAAAAACAATCGTGACCTGGTCATTCCTAAAGCTGCAGTGTCGTTCAGTGTTGAATCTGAATTGGTCTCAGAGAACAAACTGGTTATACTAATATGCTATATTTTACCTTCTCCCAAAACAAGAGCTCAAGTGTGAAATGACTGAGTAAATTAAAAGGCATACGGAAAGGTCAAGAGAGCTGTAGGAGTAATGAGAGATTTTCTTAACCTAGTCATAGATTTGAGAGACTGAAGTGGAAGAAATGAAGCTGGTAGTATATATGTGGCAATAAAACACAGCTACTATTTTCCTACATCACAAGATTCAAAATACTTTTAACACAAATACTGCTGAGAATTACAAATCCCACAAATATGAGGAAAGAAGGTGTGGAAGATGTCAAGCATAAAGATGAAATGAAAAGAAAAAATTGAGGTGAAACAGAGATGAGTCCTGTTAAGCATCAAACCAATGTGTTTCAGGAACTAATAATTAAAATCCAATGGCTTGAGGTACTAGGGAATACAAAGATATTTCAATTATTGAACATACTAAAGGTATTTAGTGCTTCAAGCAGGTAATAAATATAATATAAATACCAGCACTAATAAAGCATTAGCACAGAATTAAGAACATGGCTAACTAATTTTAGATTTGACTAAAAAATGTTGCCTTAATTGGTTCCAGTTTTATAAAGCACGTTTTATGTAATAAATAATGAAATATAGGAGTTGCTCATTTTTCCATCTGCTGGAAATCGGGATTTGAAGGACCATATTTCTGAAGTCTTCTTTAAAAAAAAAAAAAACTAATGTATTTATTCTTTGTGTATGTTGCAAATGCATCTTAGACCTGTCATTGACAGCCTATGTTCTCTCAGCTCCTGGGGTCAACACAGCAAAATTAGTGCTATGAGGTTGAAGTTTTCTAAATATTAGGACATAACCTCTTGCAGGTGATGCTGATCAAAAAAGGTTGAAATCACAACTTTAGCTGAATAGAAGATCCATCTTCCTCCCAACAGTCACCTGTTGTAATCTCAGAGCTTTTTATAAGGAAAAATTATCAAGTAAGGCCCTCAGTTCTGTTGCAGTAACTGAATTGGGAATGGAGGCAGAAAAGAAAATTCAGTACAATTTTGTGGATTATTTTTCCAGACCATGACCTGCATGAATACTTACATGTTTTTTCTTGGTTTAATTTTTATCTGCCTGGCTGATGACAGGTTTTATTGGCATGCACAAGAGCAACATCACCATCCCAAAGTGAAATATCTTATTTCTAAGATGTATGATAGAAAAAAGTAACTTTTCTAAAGCACGATATGGTAAAGGAACACATTCTAATTAGTTAGCCCAGAGAGTCTGCACTGCATGTAAATCAAAAAGAAATTGGCCTATGGAGCCATGTTTATCTCTGTGAGAAAAAACACGTCTTCATCAATAATGTCAAACAAGCAGTGAGTGGGACCAAATTTTGCATGTGTGGAGGGTGTGTTCTCAGCCAGTTTACTCATCTTTTAGGCACTATGTTGTAACATATTATTTGATTTCTACAACATAGGCAATCAGAGAGGCTGTTTTTTTATGAGGTAAAGAGGCTGGCTGCCATCCAAGAATTTTTACTGCATTAAAAGGAAATTTGATGATAGTGCTAAATTAATATTATGCATATTGAGGGCATCCTACCTAGGAGCACAAAACACTACATCTTAACAATTATATCCAAAGGATCAACACCTTTAAACTCTTTTACTTAGAAAGAGGTAGAAACAAAACACCTTTTTTTTTTTTTTTTTCTTGAAAGCTTTTCAGTTTAGTTTTCTTATGGTTATGCTTAGTGTTATCTAAGTGACGATAATGGGTTCAGAACATACAACTTAATGGACACTAGCCAGAGCTGACTCTTGAGGAGAGATAATAAATTCTGTGTTGGACCAGATGTATTCCTAGTAGAGCAGTACACCAATATATTTTCATACTGATGAGTAGTAAAATTTCCTAAACAATTGATTGAGAATACCTGATCACTGGGAGGTGTATTTGTAGGAAGAAAGTGATTGCTTTCAGTAGCATGGAAGTCACCTTGGAGAAAGCATCTTTGTATTCCACTGATCTAGATGACTTAATGTGTAGAAACCGAAAAGGACAATGCAGCAAATTAGAACAAGAGAACAGAAATTTAAATCTTAGAAACTTAAAAAGCAAAGAAGTCAAGTGAAAACCTAGCTTCCAAGAAATCAACTGCAAAATTCTCATTTACCCTGATGGGATTTTGCCTGAGAAATCTAGAGTTTATCTCAACTAATTTAAAGATTTAAAATTTAAATAATAAAAAATTTAAATAGTAGATAAATAATTAAAAAGAAAATAAATCTAAGTAGACAAATTTAATGTTATTTTAATGCAGAATAATAATCTAAAGTCTGTAACCTGATATGAAATTACTTGCTTTCCCATACTTGGCCTTTTCTAGACCAATGCTGGCTTGAGGGGATTTGTTGCACATGGATGAAATATGTGAGACAAAAAGCTAAATGATTAATGCGAAAAAAACAGTGAAAGTCCTAGAAGGTGCAGAGGGTAAGATTGACTGTTAGAGAATTAAGCAGAAAGGAGAGTGGAAAGGACTCATTTTTTTGTACATGTAAAAATATCACCTGAAACAAAGACCTCCAGTTCTACAAAAACATACTCCAGAGACTTTAGGAAAAACTAGTTTTAAATTTAGGTTTTTTTCATAACTTTTTTTTTTAATAGAGGTTCATATCTGATCTATAGCTATTAATGATTAAATTATCATATTAAGAAGCAGTACTAGGCCTGTGTATTCCTTAAATATCACTTAAGCTTTCCAAATTAGGTGTGAGACAATAAAATGCTGTACATTTTGTGAATAATACCATAGAGTACATATTCCAGTTTTTATAATGAGATTGAAATACACGCAATAATTTTCTTCAAATGAGCAGTGAAATGCTTTCGCCATGGGTCAACCATATCCCATTGTTTTGTTATCACCTGCATGCTTTAGACAGATATTGAATTTCATATTCAGTTGCTATACTGCATAGACTTTTTATACAGAGACTTGTCTGAGTAAGGTTACATATATATTCAAATGGCAACTTATGATTCATATTTTAAAATTTTGTTTGATAATGCCAAATAGCCTTATTAGAAATATATCATTATGGTACATTATGTCAACCAAATCTTTATGAGGCAACAACGGGACTGCCTTTAATGTTTATCTTCAGTGATGTCCAGAAACAGAGACTGAAGCCAAGCATGATCATGCCGAGAATGGAAATTTGAGTTGTCCTCATTTATAATAAACATGCCCAGCTGGGTGCACAGCTGCTAACTAAGGAGCCAAAGCACTAGCTTCCTTCTGCCTTGGAGGGTCTAATTTCAAAACCTGACTGGACTGGCTTTGAAAACACAAACATAGGGTCAGGCTTAATTTAAGCATAGTCTGGAACGCAGTCAAGGTAAGACATCTAAAACATCATCATGTGGGGATATTTTATACAGCTCCAAAGGGCTATTAATGAAGATAAAGTACTGTAGTTCCTGGGGTACTTAACTTCAAAGTCCTAACTGACCCAGTTTGCCTGATCTCCTTATACAATACTATTTGGAAAAAGAAAACAAAAATAAAAAAGAAGCATACCATGCCAATCCACAGGTTCTTCTTCAAAATGGAAGTCCAACACATAAAATTGCCCTTTTCAGTCCAACTTATTTAGCACATCTCATTAAATGAAGATCTAGAAAATCAGATAGAAAAATACAATGTATAAATCCATCTTTCTTATTCTTGTTGTGTAATCCAAAGTTACAGTGAATTAGGAAGTAAAACTGTTTCCACCATATTTAGATATTATTGTAATTTCACCACAGTTTTCTACATTTTGGAATATTTTAGGATAGTACAGGAAAAGGATTTCATAAAAATTAAAAACTAAATATAATTGGTGTCTAGTGAGTTACCAACAATCATGGACCAGCCATTCTAATGGGAGAACCCCAACTATTAAGTCAGCAAAAGGTTTCCTTTGTTTTGTGTGCATCATAATATTTTGACATGGGGCTTAATATCTGTCAATAAATCTGTATCTTCAATAAAATTTATCTCCAAGACTTGGTGATGAAAGCACTTCATTTTACATTTCCTCTTTCTGATAATTTCTTAATTTTTTTCATTTTTCCTAGTTTAGAATACTGTTTATCATAAACACTTAAAAATTAAAAGTTCCATTATTGTACATATGTTGTACTGTACAAAAGAGTGGGAAAACCAATTAAAATCCAAGTCTGTCACTTGAAGACAATAATATGAACTGAATATATTTTGTCCAAAGAGCAGGCCCTGCATGCATTCTTAAAATATTGGTAAATATCAATTTATCAGTCAAGTTCAATTGTAAAATTCATCAATCAAGTGATGAATGAATGGTGTTAGATGGTAACACAACAGGAGGATGTGTCTGCATTTCCTCTGATACATGCCTTAACGGTTCTCCCATTCTGCAGCTTTATCTGCTGTCATTCCTTGCCTTACCCCCTTACTGTCTTCTCTTCCTTAAGTTTCAGGGACCTCCCACTTTTCTATGGAAGTGTCAGGAGATATTCTTTAGAAGCAGCAGGTGAAAATTCTTTGTCCTGCTTCTTTGCTTAATAAATTGAAGCAGGTTGTAAGAAGGGCAAATCCTTCCTCTGTGTCCCCACTTCCTTTTGCACCTGCATGGAAAGGACAGTTGTCTCAGAAGAAGAAAATAAGTTTCTCTTTTCATAGTACTGACTGATAACTTCATTACATATGAAGTCAGAAAAGCTAAAAGCCTTCTCAGATACCTTTTAATGCTCTTTGGGATTACTTTATCTGGTATTTTACCAAACAGCGATGCATGCAAAGTTTCAAGGAAGGAGAGGGGAGTTCTACTTTCTCTGTGCCTTAGAGCACTGTGATCACTTCTGAGTTCTTTGAATTCAACAGTCAGATGGTTCACCAGTACAAGACAGAAATCTTGTAGGAATTAATGAAGTGCCATTGCCCACACTGTCAAACTTTCATGTGACTTGTAACATGCTTTTCATGCATTCTGCTCTTGGGCAGCTGCAGAATATCACATTCAGACAAACTAAGGAAATGTTTGCATGCCAGAGTTCTGTTTAAATGAGATTCATATACCCTCAATCACTTCCAAACGATAGCTTGATCCACATGGATTTTTGGTATGGGGGATTTATAGTCACCATGGCTTTGAAAAATGGACAGCACTAAGATAGTACCTTTAAAGTGCTTATGTTTTCCTTCATGTTGTATCGTAAGGCCATGGCAGACAACAACAAAAGTTCAGGCATCTGTCTTTCAGACAATTTAAACCCTTTGCTATAACTATCACTTTTAGCCTCACCAATCACAATTTTGTTTTCATTCCAAAGCAGAGTTAAATTCCAGGTACTTGTTTTAATTTGCACAGCTATCATTGAAGGATTTTTTTTTTTCTTGCAGTGTTCTTTCCACTGTGTTTTTTCCTTTGTTACAGTTACTAAGAAAATAATTTTCTTAAACAGTTTAACTTCATTTCTGCCCCATCATCCTGTTCTTGCAGATGCTCCCTGCACATTCTGGAATGCATTTCTGCAGGTACCTCCACTGCTCAACATGGGACTCCTGGAGGCTGAACATGGCTAAAGAACATGTGGGGAGGCACCTCCAGACTCAAGTAGCTCTGATGAACATCCTGGAAGTGAATGGGAAACAGTTAAATGGAAGAGAACATTATTTACCCTTCTTCTTAGATTTCTGCCATCATATTACATTACAAAAGGGTTCAGGACTCAGGAGCAGATGCTGACCTGTGAGAATGCAAGGCACAGATTTTCTATGCATTTGCAAGTGTGTTGCATAGGATCAGAGAATAAAAGCAAGTTTAATCTTTCTTAATAATTAATCAGCTGCAAATCTGGTTTTTATGTGTGCGTAAATATTCTATTATCTACTCTTTAGGCATCAGCTTCCTATTGATAGTAATAAAAATGATGTAAACTTAGTTGTGATTACATTAATTTAGTTATAGAAAAACATTGTTCCAAGTCATGTAACAGTAGTTTTCTAGGATGTACATGTACCCTTTTTCATCAATGGATGTGCTTGTGGTTTACAGGAACATTTGCTAATTACAATATAGTATTTATCTAATATACAACATGGACAATTGTTTTTTCCTTAGTATTTTCATTATGTTGAACAACTTAATTCTGTGATACACCTGTACCTCGTTGAAATGTTCTCATATTGAAAATTTCCTTCTACAGAAAAAAGAACTACAGATGCAAAGTGGTTGTTTTCAGTGACTCATCTATTGCTACTGGTTTCTAAAACTCTCCATTTGTTATTATCACAGTTGTAATTCCTTAACCACATCTTGTATCTATATTGTCCTAAAAGTTCTGCTAATTTAGAATCTTCATTTCTTCTGTAGATGCATAACTGTGTAAATTGTGCAGCAGGCTCACATAAATTTCTACCTGTTGTTACCAGCACAGTAATGGTATAGGGGAAAAAGAATTCAAGATTATACCAAATCCTAAACATTCAAATGTTTCTTGCTTATTTAATACAGGAAATAACATCCTCACAAAATCCATTTTGTACGTGCTGCCAGATTATATTTCTCTGGTTCTTGGAGGAAAGTCCACCTTTTTCGTTGCCTCTTTCATACAGGCACATACATGTATGGGAATCTTTTATCTTGTTCTTAACCAGAGGAAAATTCAGGCAAAAAAAATGCAAGGCAGTGATTAAAAGGTGACGTTATAGGTAATGGTTCTTTGCTGATTCTAAGAAAGGTTGTTACAGCAGCCAAAAGACACACGCCTGTATATCACAGAGCAGTGCCACATCTAGCAAAAGCAGCTTGATGCTGCCAGCTTCCTGGTAAAAATCCGTTTTAAATCACAATAAAAGACTAAATCCCTAGCATAATACTTTCTGAAAAGAAAAATACAGCCTGCCAGTATCCTGCCTTAGCTGGAAGGTAAGGAAGATTTCATTCACTGTTTATCAGTGTTTATGCCATGCCCTTTCTGTACAGATGGAAATGTAGTGAAGCAGAAGCTATTTGGGAAATAGAAGCAGGCTGGCAAAGACTTACAGCAAGATATGAAAATAAAAGGCTCAGTACTATTTGTTAGAAATGGCAATGCAAACTAGCTCCATATCTGGAATGAAGGCTTCACTTTTTCAAGTCCTCTTAGCTTGTGGGCTGTTTGTGGTTTTTTTTCCACAGCTTCTAGTCTTGAATACTTATTAATAAGTGTTCTTAAACAAATGGCTGGCTTATATTTAAATTAAATAGGAATGGAAAGCTGGCCAAGGAGGAAAAAGTCTAAGGTGCAAATTACTGTGTCTGAAGGTTTGTTGAACTTTTTTTAAAGACTGTTTAATGTGCCAGTGTCAGTACTGGGTTCAAGCATGTATTCTTCTGGCTCCTGTAGTAATAAATGAGCTTGATGTCTCCTGAGGGATTGGATTTTTTTTTTTTCTATTAAATATAGGATATCTCTGCAATCTTTCAGAAGTGTATGTTTTGAAATATTGGAAACAATAATTGAAATAATTAAATGCTCATCCTCAAAAATACATAGATACTTTTTCTTGAAGGCTAAACAAATCATGGATCCATAAAACAGGGGCAAGGGCAAGAAGAAAACCCTCAGACTTGTCTACATAAGTCTACAGTCTTGAAGTCAGTGCTTAGAAAAGGCAGCTAAGCTTGACAGGAAAGCAAGAAATGAAAGAAAATATATAGACATGCTCCAATCCCCAGGGTATTAACTTCTCTGCACTTCCTCCACCTTACCTGTACTGGCAGAAGGCTTATGCTTGTGCACTGCACTCTAGTGCTGATCCAGGACTTAAACTGCTTTTTTTTCCAGAGGAAAGCCTTCTTAAGAGGGGCTGCCTTTGCCCCTGGCACAGAAACTCTTTTCATCTGCATAGATAAAGTGAAGGGTTAAACCGAAGTAGTTAAAGCAGTCATCTTATTTAATTTAAAACAAGATGAAAAACAAAATGAACAGAGAGTGAAGCATGTGGCTTAGAATAGAATATCTCTGGAGTCCCTTAAGCTCTTCACAACTAAAACATAATGACAGGTTTTAGTATTTTGGAATCTCTCCCTTTCTCTTACTACTTCCAGAAAACCCTGGATATTCAATATCAGGGAAAGTTTGTAGGTAGGCTAGTCTGTCCCATGCCAGGATTATGCTTACTGGTATTATGCCAGTTTTCTAGCCACCTCCAGAGCAGCAGCTTGTTTTTTCTCTTAGTCAAAGATAGTCTTTTACTGGCAAGAATATTATGAAAAAAGTACTGCAGTATTTTCTGTGGAGACCAGCCAAAAAAAATCATTGGTGAAAAAAAAAAGGGAAAATAATTGGTTTTCAATTCTAATATAGCATTATGTTGACATATAGTTGCCAGAATACAAAAAGATAAGAAAATTTAGTCAATTTAATCCTGCTTTTTTTTTTCTTTTTCTCAGTTCCTTGGTATTTTATTGCCCTGTACCAATGGTAAGAAGTTAAATTTAATTTAATTACCAATTACATTTTTTGACAGACTTTTTTTTTTCCCCCTTGAATAATTTATTTTTTTTACTTTTTATCCGGGTGTCTTAAGCATTATTTTTCTGGTGGGGCATCCTCTCATTTCTACTTTTTTGCTGTGATGAATCAACCTTCACTATGCATCAGTGCAGTGTTTCTTTCATAATATAGTGGCCACAGTCTCTGGCTATCTACTAAGATCATCAGTTTTAATACATTTCTTTTAAGTGATTTCTTCTTCCTGATCAAATAGATGAAAAATAATAATACAGAATCAAAAGACATAAACAATTGCAATTTGTATTTCAAATTAAATGAGAATTGCTAGTAAAGCATTTATTTTGCATATTTGAAACTAAAACAGTTTTCATTAACCTGGGAATAAGAGGACAGCCATGGATGAGCAATAATTCTGAATCAAACCTTTTCTATAAAAGAATTAATTATTGCAAGAGAGTATAGCTATAATCCAACTTTGTCAATATATAAAAAGATATTATTCAGAACAGTAAATATGCGGACCTTTGCCAAGAAGTTCAAGATTAAATTTTCAAATCTTATTATCTTATCTATCTTTATGTATCTGTGCTTTGTAAAATATATTTCTATGTATAAGCCTGCACACAAGTGACAAATTTTGGTCATTCTTTTTCTCTCTGAAAACTTTGAACAAGCTACATTCTATTCAGAAGTGTATTTGTACATCTGTACTGTTCTTCACAGTATATGTATATGTATATGTAGAAAGTAAGATTTTGTATCTTAAAGGCTAAAATAGAATCCAGAGAATTACCACTGTCCCAGAGTCAATTAGTGACTTGGAATTTATCAGGTGAAAATTTCCAGGACATCAATTACTGTTGCTTGCAAATATGGATGAACACATCACATCAATTCTTTTAGACCCCTCTCATAGATAAATCTTCCATTTCCTTTTCACAGCAACAAGACATTGGCATCTTATCTGGTGGCATGCAATGAGTTATTTAACATGAAAGCAATTACAACTATACTTCTCTCTCATTTTCATCAGAAAAGCCCATTGTTTGTAGAAGAAATTCTTACTTTAAGCCAATAAGTTCATGCCCTCACCTTTAATATTGTAAATTTTCAGGCCAGGTTTTGAATACAATATTCCAGTCCTTCTCTAAACTGAATATATTCAAATCTGATGTCCTTGCATTTTGTAGCAAAAAATGTGGAAGTACTATCAGTTGCAATACAATCAGTATGACTTTTCTAATACAGATGAGATCTACAAATGGGGAATTTTTATTGCTGCTTGCTTAATTGCTGCAAGGTTTTTATTCTTTTCAAAAACAGTGGAAATGGAATTCAACAACAGAAAACACTCACATATCAGGCTGATAGTTCTTTTCAAGTCTTCTTTCAAAAATTTTCCCTGTATTTATCAAAATTGGTAAAAGTTCAAGATGGATCATCCAATAAACTTTCTCACTACAGATGGCTTGCTGAAAGTTCTCCTTTTTTCCTACATAACCCTTCTATGTAGGAAAGACAAATTTGCCATAGTATTGAGGACCATGCTGTCTCAGATTTTGGTGAGGAATGGCACAATAAAATAGAAATTGTGAGAAGGCTTCTAAGAAGCACTGAGTTACAGGTGAAAAAAATACAGCAACTCTTTGAAATATATAAAGTAATTAAAATAATATCCTAAACTCTCAAAACTTGTTAGCCTTCTTTGACCATCTGAAAAGTAAATCCTGCTAAATCTCACATATGCCTGCAACCACATGCAGCGACTATAACAAAGTATAACACTGATTTTTCAAAAAAAAAATTTCCCCTGGGTTATTTTGCTTCTAGTATTATCTTTCTCCTAGCACTTCTTTAGATTAGCATCTCTGGGGTAATTTCTTTAGTGGTAACAACAGGGAGAGTGCTGTCTCAAGGTGGAAATAGTGGCCATTTAAATAACACACTGCTTACAGCTGCTTAGCACAAACCCAGTAAGATAACACAGTGGTTAATTTCCCCATAGCTATTACAACCTGTCTGCATTTATGTTCCATTCTAAATGCTGAATAGAGTCCTCAGGACAAAGCTGAAATGTTCAGTCTGTTGCTTAGATACTACTTTCACAGGCTTCATTTGAAAAATCTGTGTATACAGGCAAATAAACAGATAAGTTAATAGGCTGAACCCGCAATGGACAAACATTAATCACTCCTTTTTTACTATCTTTTGTACTATATTTCTGTATGGAAGAAACGGGTGTGGAATACATAGAACATTAACACAATGTAGATGAAAATACTATGCTTTGCTGGGATGCCTCCTCCATGCATAGAAAATTGGGGCCACCCTACCCTAATGAAACAACTTATATGATTCTTCATTCATGTGGGCCACTTGACTTATCTTTGTGTATTCTTGCTGTATAGGATACAGAAATGAATATCCTGTTTGTTTACTTATACAAGAGTCACTTATAACTTGTGACATTGCAACAACAGATCAAAATCAAGATCATATCCTAAAGTTAGAAAATCACCTTTGTCACATACACTATAGGCTTTATTCCATAACTGGGAGGAGATAAATTTGAAATGGTTGAAATATTCTATTCAGAATGCCCAGATTATATCTAGTGAAAACTGCTTTACTAAAAATAGATGCTGTTCTGCATAAGCATTAGATTGGTTCCTGCTATGCCATTTCCTCAGTAGAAGAAAAGAAAAAAGAAAAAAAAAAACAATTTTGGTAGGTGTTCTGCTCTGCTAATATTCAAAAATTAATTTTTTAATTTTTTTAGCACCAGTAATTTATGACTTGGAGCAACACGCTCAACAAACTGGGTGTTATGTAAAAGCTGGCAGTTACAACATCACAATACAACATAATTACGTATTATATAGTTAAGGTGATACATACTACTCTTGTGAAACATACCACAAATTATAAAGCATTTTGGAGCAAATCCATTCTGCTCTGCTCAGCAAAATGAAATTGCTACACAAATTACTGTTTTTGCCTTTTGTTATATTTTTTTTTGTTAATCTCCTGCAAGATAAGAGTGTATTTTCATATGTTTTGCATTAAGGAACAATTGTGAAAGCAACAGAGCAGAATTCAATACCTAGATTCAATGCCCAGTACCTCTTTACTGGAGGGATGAATAGATAGCAAAATAATTCTGAATTAGAAAACAGTTATATTTTGTAAACAAATTTTAACTCCTTGAACTAGATTTAATTGGTTATTTAGTTCTGCCTTAAGCATTATTTTTATATCAGTTTGTCATTTAGTTCATATAATTACTGCAAAGATTAAAAAAATACAGTCAAGATATTTAGAATGACAAATCAATCTAGCTATCTGCATTAAATGCACTTTCCAACAATTTCTACTACCAAAGAGTACAAACAGCTGCTAAGTACCACTTCTGTTGCAACTTCAAGATGAATAATTATATATACATACATACATACATACATATATATATATATATATATATATATATATATATATGCCATTTTTTATATTTCTGAACCTGAATTTTTTATCAGGCAGGGAACATAGTAGCTACTGACAAAATTACTGGTCTTTAAAATTCTTCTGTAAAGAGTTATTGTAACAATAATTGCATTCCTGACATTATATTATATTCTGTCTACAAAATTATTCTACAGTAGATTATAATTTTCCAGGCATGGGTTTTGTCGAGAGAGACTGAATTTTAATGATTGGTTTCTATGTTTGCTTTTATGAAATGAGCCATGCTCAAATATTGTAATTATAAATATGCTTATTAAAAAAAAAGAACTTAATCTTCTCAGTGAGATTCATGTCTCAGGAGAGGCGATCAGTTGTTTGGGTTCATTTTTCTTTAAAATAATATTATTATATATTGTATTTTTTTTAAAGACCATGCTTGATTTTTTTTCTC